CCGACGCCGACGCTACCACCTTGCCGTCCGGCGAGAAGGCCACTGCCAAGACCGCCCCCCCATGGCCCTCGAATGTCTGTAGTAGAGCACCCCAATCATTCTCGACCTTAGGCAATCTTTGTATCCATCGAGGTATCCGGTCGTTAAACTGCCTCCTAACTATACTCATAGCAGGTGCAAAAATCAATGCACTATAGTAGACCTGTAGCGGAGCGCACTCTAACACTGGCTGGTTAAATAGTACAAATCGTTTGGCATCTTGAATAAACTCGGAGAGACGGGGACAGTGATGTTCCTGAACTAAATTAAGCTGGAAGACTGGTGTAATACTGTTAGCTTACTTACAAGGGCAACGGCCTCTAAAGAAGTAATTGCATAGATCCCTTCAGAGATCCTCCGCATCCAGCTTAGCGCCTCAAGCCAGTGGAGTAAGTGTATCTGCAAGAACTGATGCACTAAGTCGTTGTCATAAAGCCGAGCATCGCTCTTCTGAAGATGCTGAACCCAGTAGAGACATGCGTATTGAATCTCCGGAGTGAAGTATTGCTGCACTCGATTGCTCGATATATTAGCCACGAGCACACCTGGAGATTCCATTACACAGATGTCTTGCTTAAGAGAGGTCGACATTAGCTGTATACAGCTCGTAGCTAATGCCCCATGTGCTTGCTTCTCGTTGACCCAGAAATTTGAGTTACTGCACCTATTCTTGTCAAGGAGGAAGTCGCGAAATGAAGGGTGGTGTAGACGAAGCGGGCGACGTCGGTCCTCTGGAATGTCTAGTATTGCATGAAGATCGTCTAACGTCTGGTCAATGTCCTCGGTTTGAAGGTGGATAAGCCTGCCTAGAGAAGAGGAAGAGAGAGGGGAGAGGAGCAGAACTATACTCCCAAGAGTATGTCTCAACATTCCGTACAACTCCTCTTTCTCCTCATCCGAATAATCTGGGGAAATGGAATACCTGAGAACAGTAATGTAAATTTCGTTGAGGTGCTTCTCTGGTGCCGTAGCAGCATTGCTACTGCCGTCAAGTATTGTACTCAGTCTCTTAACTGTAAATCGTCTCCCATCTTGGATAAACCGACATGCTGTTGCCGCCCAGATGAATAGGCCACTTGCATTCTGAACCAGGCGTTTAATGTTATCTCCGCCGGGCCAGTCAGCGCCTAGAGAGCGTTCCTGCCCGATGAGTGTCAGATTGTATTCTAGGAAAATAGCAATGTCGTGGTCCACAATTGATGGTGAGATATTGTGGAGGATAAAGTCCTGGTGTTCCGTATCTGGTATTTGACAGAACCCAAATCGGATCGGAATCTCAGGTCTGCTCGTTAAAAATATTCGTAGTCGGACCTTCGTTAGCGATCGTATCTCGGCTAAAAGTTGCAGAATGATTCGGATGTTGCTATCCTTAGCACACTCATCGAGAGCATCAATAACTAGAACATATGAGGATCGGGAGTCCTTGCCGTCCAGCTTTAAAAGCGGACGGACGACGAGATGATGCCATTGATCGCGGAGGGACTGGCCGGCAATATCGCTGCGCTCTGCAATAGCGTCACAAATGTGTTGATGGAGAGCAGAAACGTTTCTTGCAAGCTGTACTGCAATGCTTGTTACGAATTTGCCAGCATGGCCAACGTCTCCACCACCGCTTGAGAAGAAGAAGCTGGCCCCAAGACAGACTGAATCGAAACATCTGCGCGCAACAGTACGAGCAATCGTAGACTTTCCCGTCCCGGCAAGGCCGTTCAACCAGAAGATGAACCGTTTATCTTGTCCATCAGCCCAGCTAAATATTTCTTCCAGAATATTGACGCGGGTATTAGGGAGGCATGTAGGCTCGTGTTGGTTTTGAAATGAATTGAAAGGTGCTTCAGCGGAGAATGGCAGGCGATCGAGTTCGTTCTCTGAGCCCTTCTCTACTATTAGCCTCCTTCTCTTTGGGTTTGGGCTCTCGGACATAGATTCACGATCTTACTATGCGGTTAGCATAGATCTATCCCTAGCCGATGCAATATCGAAGGTCACTTACGAAATCGACCGGTCAATCCTACTGCCGCTGGCTGCTCAGGGTTTTCCAGCAGTCGCTGCAGGTAAGGGACAAGATCCGAATAGCTTGGCCCAAACTGTAATCGCACCAGAGGCTGGAGATTGAGATAATCTCCGGTGCGAGCCAAAAGATAATGTCGATTTGGGATATTCCTCTGATGTTCACACGCCCATTTCAACAGTGCGCTGAAGTTTGGGTCTTCCAATCCGGATCCACAGCCAACAAACATCATCGTGTAAGCATTCCAAAGCGTTTTTAGTACATCCTGAACATCATCTGAGTGTCTAACCTCATAATAGTCCGTTGCGTCCAGGATGACATCATTGGGTGCGTAGTAGCTGCCGTGTATATGGAGGATCCCGCGCAAATCTCCATTTTGGAACTTCAAGACCTCTTCATGATTGGACCGGTTGATGCGGCGCAAGTTGCAGTGGCCTTCTTCGAGGAGATCGTCGTAGTTCGTTGTAAGCAGCATGGCTCCTTTCTCGTGAAAGGATTTCAGAACATCGAGCACGGCCGGGTGCCTAATTTCCTTAGAGAGACCGCCAAACACTGCTTGTAACCAGGTAGGCAGTTGACGGGTCTTGTCGAGTAGAGATTTCAGAATACCTGCCGCATCGAGCAGATCGTCCAGATCAGGATTGGACTGTTCGAGTATCTCACATGCACGCTTCAATCTTCGATTGTTTCCCTCAACGTGGCCATCCGTAACAAGATAGTCCAAGCCATTTCGAATTAGGCCTCGCCACGATATTCGAGAGAGCGATTCGCCTAATACCGTTGATGTCGCACTGATTGTCACTCCAGCCCCAATAACAACGACGAGCTTCTTATTATTCAAGGCGACTCTGATCCGGTCTAGGCGCTCATTCTCGATTCTCGTAGCCTCTGCGAGGGCTGTGGGCTTTATAGAGACTTGTCAGTACAGCTCGAGGCTGAAGAGGGCGGACATACTAAAGTCGCCATTCTCAAACTTCTCAAATTAACTTTGGTAGACCCAGCACGAAACGCGCAGAAAGGAAACCATAAGCTGGAAAGCAATGCTCGTAGAAAGTCACTTCGCCCAGCTTAAAGACGTAGTCGTAGGAGGTGAAGCAGGTAAGGTTGTAGAGATTTAAAGGCTGGAAAAATGCTTTGCAGGTAGCATCGACACGATCGCATCCCAGCCTTGCGTCTTGCGGTGCCGTAGTTGCTCGCCCATCAGGCAAACTCGCAGGCAGACACCCAGCTGTAGTCAAAGACCCTACCAAGAGAGCATGCAACTCATTGGCGCTTTGGATCTACAAACCGGATTGACCTGATAGAGCGAGTACTGTACCCAGTCACTTCAACCATTTGAGCGGTCTTTAGAGACTTACTGATGACCATACTGCGTATAGCGGATAAGGTTATGCTGAGACGTTCCAAGGTTTGGCGCCATGTTAGCCATTTAACAATATGAAGTATCTTCCAAAACGGTGTTCAACTGGCCCCTACCCTGAATCTAAATTTGGACTTTTGGAGAGTGAGAAAGAGAGTGTGTGACAGTGTGAGGGGGTCTGCAGGGACGGCCACCAAGGGGATAATTAGACCTACCCAGTCGGGCAGCGCTAAACCAAACCAGGGAGCCAACCAAAACCTCAATTACGGAAATAATTGAGGTTTGAGAGACCAGTGATGCATTGACTTTCTGTGCTAAGAATAATTGGAGGGCTCCGGGATGCTTTGACATCCTCATAAATTGATGCGACATCTAGGGGTCGAAGGTGTTGCACTGTTGTCCCGAAACATATATCCTATGTCGTCGAAAATAATCTTTATGGAGTACCCGTTTTCCCGCCTAACAATATCTCTCTAGCCATACAATTACCATCTTGTGCATCTTTTGGTTATGTAGGTAGATACAACTCATCATTTCAGTAGGCGGGGCAAGGACACCAAAGGTGGAAGAACCATCAATCTTCCGCCCCCGGATGGCCCACTGAGCCTACTGGAAGGATTTAAAGTCAATTAAGAAAAATGATTCGAGAAAGGATAGAATTTTTCGCATACTCGCTGAGCAACGGTTTGACAGTCACTAATGAAAATAATGCGAGACTTTCTGAACTATTTCGGGGGTCATCATCGCAAACGAGGATTTAGTCAACCAGTCGTCATGAAGAACAGAGATGATTTGGCTGGAAATGTGGGTTTTGTAGGGTTAACTCCTGGTTGGGGCGTTGGGCAGGTTGGCTTGTCGGGACCCCAGCCAAGGACCTGGTGGTTCGCAGTTTTTACATTGGGTGATTCCACCGATTCAGACACTCCCTGCTAGTTTTATCTAAATTGTACTCATGGTTATATATTATTTATGTATTCTTATTTCAAATATAACGGCAACGTGGCCGAGTTGGTTATGGCGCCAGGTTAAGGTGTACCTTAATACTAAGTCTGTGCATTCAGTCTCCTGGTTCGGAAACGAGCATGGGTTCGAATCCCATCGTTGTCATTCTTTTTTGCCTTTTCTTTAAATTATTTTCGAAGTTGTTTCGTGAAGATATTCAATTTGAGCTTGGTCTGGTAGTGATAGAGGCATTTTTGGCTGAGATATGGCGCTAATAATTTTCTGTGAGGACTGAGGGAGCAGCACCTTTGTACTGACTATTAAGCAGTCACGTTTAACCCTCACCAAAATTCCACAATTAATGAAGTGGTTTGGTGATGTCTAAACTTTTTTCCTATTCTTTTGGTTCTTATGGTAATGTCTCGACATACCAGAAACTGAAAGGGAGGCTGGTAAATTCTTGACACCAATGAGCACGTTACAAGTATTGATCTGTACCGTATTACTTTCATGGACAGAAGTCAGGTGTGGTAGTAGCAAAAGTCTCAATATCGTCCACCCCCTGGATCCCGTCATTCCGTGGCGGAGATAAACAACCGCAGCACATAAAACCATGAAGCATACTCCCAGAGCTTCGGAAACTGCATTCTATTCATCTGATATTACTTTACATAGTTTGATATCGTGTTTCCTCCCTTTGGGCACTGGTGTTGAGGGTCGGGAAGGCGTGTCAAGTGCGTCAAAATTTGTCCACCCCAGATCATCTATCAGCGAATATTATATATTGGGAATGGGATAATCTGGCAGGCATTCGGGAGTGCTTCACCATATATACACCTTGTTCATAAGGAGATAACACAAGAGACATTAGTGCATTTCATTCATTCAACTTTCAAAAGTCTAGGCTACCCGGTCACCCCTTGACCTGCACAGTCTGCGTTCCTCCCGACCCCGACGCAGCGGGAGCAGAGGCGTTCTCGTTTGGCAGGTCGGGGTTCAAAGGCTTCGCCGGATCATATCCCAGCGCCTTGACAATGCCCAGCCCTTTCGTGCGCCCCTCACGGAACAGTATCCGATCACCCACATTCAAATACTCCGGACGCTGGACAAACCGGAAGGCAACGGTGGCTCGATCGCCTGTCCGAATATACGCACGGTCAATGTCGATGATCGCGCAAGTCTGACTCACGGGACCGACGTGGAGCATTGCCTGGTACTTGGTTTTGATGGTTGTTGCGTGGCTCAGGATGAGCACCTCGGCGATGAACTCGCGGTAGACCTTCGGAGGGGGGAGGGTGGATTGCGGATCGGGCTTGTGCAGCACCACCATGCCTTTACGCACATCTTTCCGCCTGATCCCACGAAGCGCCAATGAAGCGCTCTGTCCGGCACTGCAAACAGCAGCTTGGATCCGTTTTCGCTCGATGGAACGCACTTTCGTGGTTGCGAATGCACCCGTTGAATCCGGACCGACCAGGATGGTGTCGCCCGAATGGATAACCCCGGACTTCACTACCCCAGACACCACGGTGCCAACGAACGGTACAGAGAAAGTATCGTTGATATGATATTCCAGTGGCGCGTTCGGGTTGTAGTTGCCATGGTGCGGTAGTAGAGACAAGAAAAGCCGTATCAACGGAAGATTCTCACCGGTGACATTTGAGACCTGGAAAATCGGACATATCCGATGAGAGACAAATTGGGTCTATCGCACATAAGGTGGAATCCAAGTTTTTTCAGAGCGGCTAGACTTACTGCTGTGTTGATACACTCCTCACGTGTTTTGATGAAAATCGGGATTTTGCGGGCTCCGGGAGATTTGAGGATCTTCGTGAGTTGCGCGATGGTCTGCTCCAAGATATGTGGAGGGCAAATATCAATTTTGGTGATTACCACCATGACTGGGACATTCAAGGCCAAGGCGATCCCCAGGTGTTCTCTGTACAACAAACGATGAGTAAAACCAACACGAAAACATTGTCCAATTCCAGATACGTACTTTGACATGCCAATCAAACCATTGTTGGCCGCTACCATCAGCAAGCAGTAATTCGGCTCGCTGCTGAGAAGCCCAAAGACCGTAGTTCGAAGGTACCGCTCGTGACCAGCAAGATCAGTAAATGAGATCACCTTCGTGGACCGTTTTCCGATCTCTTCCCAGGAGAGTTTCCTGCCTGGAACAGTGGACTGGATGACATTCCCCATCGTATCGAAGCCCATGATTTCCATACCGACGGAAGAGGTCCGACCGCTCTCGATTTCGTGTTTGTGCCGGAAGAGGTTAACTCGTGCTTTTCCACGGCCATCGTCAAGTCCACCCTTCACCAACACACCCAACATGGTACTTTTGCCTGCGTCGACTGGATATCATGGCTGCAATCAGCTACTGCCGAACCCAGAAGGTGACCATGAGGCTTACCATTCCCTACCACGGCGACCCGAAGCTCTATGACATCGTCCATGTCTTTGGGTCGCCGCCGAATCATCGCTTTTCCGGTCCACGAAGTATCCTTGGCGGAGAACGGTCCCACTTCAACTTTCTCATCGCCTTCCCACTTGTCCTCGACAACCCCACCTTTCTTGTCGCCAGCGTCGCTGATATTGCGAGTCATGATTATCCGCATGTCGGCGCCAGCCTTTTCAGTGGCGTCCTTGACTCTATCGAGGGCAAAGCTCCACTCGGTCGCATTGAAGCCCATTGTGTCGCCATTGTCCTCCAATCCGAGGTCGAAAATCACTTCGCCATGTCCTTCAGCTATCCTTCCCTTGACATACTCCACCAGGTCCCTTATGGACTGTTCCATGGTGTCAGGATCGTTGTCGAGGAGGAGCTGTTTTAGGCGGACGCGTTTGGATTCGTCGGAGAGGTTCAGGGTGTCGAGTATAGCAAGTTCATCGTGATCCTCAATCGCTCCATTCCTTGCTGAAGTGCCTGGTATTGAAGCACCTTGAGGTTGGCGCCTGGATTGCTGTCGTTGGACGTAGTCGGCGAAGTCGCTCAAAGCCTAGGGGACATTAGCCTCCAAGTCTCGAATTGGTTCGTCTTCACAGTCAAGACGGGGCAGCGGTGTCAACCACACATTGGGAGACATACCGATTCGCCTTTTCGGCGATCCGATACGGACGCCCTTTGATTCCGTGTCATTCTTCCGAGACAGGACTTTTCAAGTTATTGGAAGGGTTCGTATGCGTATTCGTGCTGGCCAGATAATGTCCCGGTGTCGATATGCGAGAGAGCACATTGATTTTAGTAGCATCAATGCATTTACTAGAGGAATGATTCTAGGAAGAGAGGATGAGTCGGGATGGAGCAGGTGAATCCGGCGCAGCACCGGTATTTCAGTTGAACCTGAAGCTTCACCTTGACGGAGTCATTGGTTGCTTCCACATAGGCTACCAGCCAGTAATTATGACACCGGACGATTGACTCACAGCAGAGCTCGAGGTGGAATCATAAGGAACCTGACTGATATACGGCAGTGCTAAAGGATCGGAGTCTAAAGCCAACCGCTGCATCGATGACTAGACGGCTGGGGGAGTACCTAGTCATTCAATGATTCGATAATAGTGGTGTTCGGTATGCTGAATCTGATGCTGGCCGCCCATTCGGAGTAATACGTTACTTACGCCATTGACAACGCGGTGACACCCGTGGGGAATCCCTGCCTATTCCACACGGAAACGCCAACTTCGACTTCGACTTGAACATCAACAACATCGAATAATCATAGATGACTTTATTATTCGGAAAGATGTATAACGCATCGCTTCAATTGTGCTAACTGCTAGGATACAACGGAGGTAGATAGTGGTCTCGACATTGATGATAAGCTCTCACCCACATATCCAGGCTGCACTCATACTAGACTTATAGACTAGGTACGGTTTGACAGTTCAGGTCCTCTCAGGCTCTATTATCCCTCCTATACCCTTTTTCAGTTTCTACCCCTACTCTCAAGTATTTTTGTCTTGTTTTAATCGTTCCATCGGAGTTGATCAAGATGAGTCCTGTGCTATTCGGACCACACCGTGAAACCGATGGTTACAAATGACTGTTTCGAAACCCAAGAACCGCTAACACAAATTTCCCAAGACATTGCTATCTAAATCCAATAAAGCATTGAGTTGTTGCTCGTCTTCCGCCGCCCCCCAGTCACTCTACCCAAAGTCAGTCTTATCCGAACACAATACAGAAGTTCAAAGGAAACGGTGACTAACCCAATGTAATGGATCTGGATGGTTTGCTACCGCGTACGGTGCCCCTACTGGGAAGTTTGCGAAAGACCAGAGATCAGGAAACATATTTGGCGTCGCCATTGACTCGAGTGTCGGATTTTGGACCGAAGTGACTGACCCCACGCTATTCAATGCTGGAGTTGGAACATACGTGGCGGAACTCGATGCTAAGAAATATTAATGACCAGGCAGGTCTACTCTTTGACAAGAACATATGACTTACAATGTGACGCACTAGCAGCGGTTGCCGTATCGAAGTTGTCGGGGATATATAACGGACAATGCCCATAGGTATCGGAGTTCATCTTCTCGGCCTTCTCCAACACCATGCCCAATGCCTGCATTACCCTTTGAGGTTCCTGGTACATGCGGCCATACTCCTCCAAAAGTCCATAGGTGTGTTTCAATACACCTATCACGGTCGGATTATTTAAACTTGGCGGCTGCTGGCGGACATCGGGATCTTGTAAGAGCTCTCGGTATAAGTCCACACACAGAATCGTTGTTGCTAACAGATGGTTCTGATTGACGATAGTGTAAAGCTTCCAGCGTTTAAGCTCGAGTGCAATTCCTAGCACCGCGACTCCTGAAACCGTCATATCGGCGCTCGAGATCTGAAGCTTCAGGATGTTCAGCGCAGCTTCCAGACACATGCTCCGGGAAAATGCATATTGAGGAAGAGTACGGCCTGCGACAAGATGCTTCCGGTGAAGAATACAACGTGCCTTGTTGAAAGCCTCATCAAGATACATGCGACACAGGTGGACATACCCACAATCCTTGCCTTCATCTCCGGGTTTGAATCGCAGGCATTCGGGAAAGTCCGATACCGTCTCGCAGAGCAGACTGTCGAGGCGCATTATCTCCGAGTACGGTTTCGGCGTCGGTGAATTCATCAAATCGAGAATTTCCCCCATCAGATGCCCAATCTGTCGACGATGAATGTTGAAGAGGACCGGGGTATACTCGGTCAGAGGTCGCGGGGCTGGGAGCTGATGCATCGACTCATCGATATCCCCATCGAGGAAATTTGAAGGCCGGCCCGTATCGGAGATCGACTCTTTGATGCTTCTTGGTAATCCAACCGCAAATGACACCAGAAGATCCCCTTCACAAACAAATGCCCACACCCTTCGTCGGATTTCACCCTGCAATGCTGATATCTTAGGAAAATGGGACGGATCCCGATGGTATCCCATTCTGATTGCAACACGTGCTAGAATCGAGAATAGAACATGGGCCCCAACGGGCGAGTCCGGAGACAGGAGATACTCAATCAAACTGTATAAAAGCAGCCCTTCTACAGTATACGGATCCCCCTTCAGGTATTTCCCCATCACAAGACACTGCGCTGCCCGCTGGCGGTAACATTGCGTATCTTTCCCGTTTCGTCCGATGGCGACAAGGGCGTATGTACGGGCTGGCTCCACAATCCCCACGGGGGTTACGCCACCCATAAACGCCTCGAACATCTTTACCACGCACAACACACTGTACAATATACCGATCCACATTATAGGTGTATCGGCTGGGTTGTCCCAGAAAGCTGCGTACTATCAACTGTAAATATTGGTCCTTCAGCATTGTCATAGATCTTACCTCTTTTGCGAATGTCGGTTGGTGTAGGACACCTGATATCATGAGCTGGAGGCTGTATCATTCGGGACGTGTACTGACCTGATGCCAATCCGAGTTTCATGAAAAATGTGTCGATCATTGAATCACAGATTGCTCTTTGCGGGAGAGAGGATAGAATCTGTTGTCGGCTGGCCCGGTTGTTGCCGTACAAAAGCTCCGGTCCTTCTTCATTTTTCATTTCGACGTCGCCCTTGTTCGATTCTAAATCCTCCAACTCACCCAGCTAGGTGGATATCAGCAGCGAGGTGACGAGCATCAAACGCAGGAAACCTTACATCGTCAAGCATCGATCCCCAATGAGACTCGCTGACATACTTCGATGTCTTTTCTCGGAGACACATCCTTCCAAATGTATCGGTAAGTTGTTCATCAGCCAATTCTGGGCCCAGAGTTGTGCCATCATGGATACCATTAGAGGCACGACCCCTAGGACTTCGTGGTGATTTGACCGCTTCGGCACCCTGAGAGGCATCAAGCTTGCGCTGGAGCTTATTTACGAGAACTTCAAGTTGACTGATCCTGTCAAATAGCCCACGGTCGGGGTTCTCTTCTTGTTTGGAGTTCGATGACCGGTTAGGCAAACAAGCATAGGTACACGTCAAGCCACGCTTCGTGCAGTTGCAGCATGGATCGCTTCGGTCACATCTCAACCTGAAGACGAGTAAGCTACTGAGGCAATGGCATTAGGTCATGGCTATATACTTTCTCCTTCTGCAAAGATTGCATGATAGTTGGGGTTTATCCCTTCGTCTATTTGGGGGGACCAATTTCGGGGGGGTTGCCCGCGCTGACGTTGTCGCCATGCATGTACGTCGGTGCTTTCGAATGAGAGGACTTCGTATTAACGTTCCGGTTAGATCAAGACATGCAACAACTGTATCTCCTAAGCCCGAACGTACGTCCGTGTTCGTCCCCAGTTTGTAAGCGAAGAGGTTGCGTTTCTCTGGCGACTCCTACAGAGTTCTGATTGATGCTACGTGAGTAAAGTTCCGGCATAGCATCCTACCAATGAAAACACGGCCCGACTATCCGACCCTCCGACCCTCCGATCCTCCGCGCCGTCACTCCCGACGACTCATTCCCTTTTTCGTAACATTCACCGGGGTTAAGCTATCACCACAACTTGAAAGTTGAAACTAACATGGAAGACTCGATGCTATCTCCCCATGCGCATCAAAATTGTGTGTAGCTCAGTGTAAGACCTACTACATGTGGGGATCCGGGTATCGTCCGTGACGGGACTTTAGGAGGCCCCTTTGTATGATGCACCTCAATTGAAGTGACTCAAATGCACTTTAGGGGCTGTATATAAATCCCCTGGGCTGCCTGAAGAAACCATCTAATTCACTAACATCACGGCAACATGGAGACAACAAAGCCAAATCGAGCATCGAGTGAGACGGCGGATTCGTCAACAGCGGTGGCTATCGACGTCGAGAAGGCTGCACTAGAGAAGAGCGAGGATGAATATATGGGAGTGGTACCTGATCCTACACCGCAAGAGCTGGTCAAAGTAGCGGAAGATATCGATCCCAATGTGGTCGATTGGGACGGCCCTGACGATCCAGCAAATCCACTCAACTGGTCAAGATCATTGCGGATCGGACATGTCGTGCTGGTCAGCATCCTGACACTGATCTCGTGAGTTCTCCGGCATCTGTATATTTCTAGCAAGCTAACGGACTTTCGAGAAATATCTCAGCAACGATGTTTGCACCTGGATCAAGTCTACTGGTGACCGAATTCGGTATCACCTCCAGCGTGGTTGGATCCCTCACCGTGACGATTTACCTTCTAGGCTTTGCTTTTGGACCTCTATTCCTTGCGCCATTGTCTGAACTGTACGGCCGACTGCCAATATACTATGGTTCCACCCTCGGATATATCGCCTTCACCCTTGGCTGCGCGTTGTCTAGAAACACGGGAATGTTTCTGGTCTTCCGCTTCATCTCCGGATGTGCTGGTTCGTCCGCTTTAACTATCGGAGGAGGCACCATCGCCGATGTTATGCCACAGGAGAAAAGAGGACAGGCGATGTCAATGTTCGCCATAGGTCCACTCCTCGGCCCGGTGATTGGGCCAATCATAGGGGGTTTCGTATCCCAAAACATTGGATGGAGATGGGTCTTTTGGTTGCTCACCATCAGCATGGGATTGGTCGCCATTCCGATGGTAATCATCATGCGAGAGACATTCGGGCATGTCTTGCTCGCCCGGAAAGCAGCCCAGTTGAGGAAAGAAACAGGCAACGAAAAGCTACGGTCCAAATTCGACAGCGGTCTTTCTGTGTCGGGAACCTTCAAGCGTAGTATTATCCGTCCCTTGCGTATGCTGTTCCTGTCCCCCATTGTATCTCTGATAAGTTTATATATGTCTTTTGCGTTCGGTCTCATGTTTTTGTTATTCACAACGTTCCCAGCTGTCTTTGGGGAGGCATACCACTTTTCGACGGGAGTATCTGGACTTTCATATCTCGGGCTCGGCCTCGGCTTGGGATTCGGTCTGTTTCTGTTTAGTTCAACATCGGACAGGTTACTCAAAAGGTTAGCGAAGGGAGGAGAGCTGAAGCCAGAGTACCGATTACCTCTGATGGTATATTTGTCTCCAGCGATGCCTATTGGGTTTTTTTGGTACGGTTGGAGTGCTCACGCCCAGGTGCATTGGATCGTCCCTATTATCGGGACAAGTGTCATTGGGATAGGATCACTTGCCATTTTTGTGAGACGTCTTTCGCAACCATCCAACGACAGTCGCTAACAACTGACCAGATGCCCGCTCAATTGTATCTAATCGACGCATTTGGCCCATATGCCGCTTCCAGTTTAGCAGCTTCGATTGTCGTTCGGTGTGTGTTTGGAGCCTTTCTTCCACTCGCCGGACCTTCGTTGTATCAGCGTTTAGGGCTGGGATGGGGAAATTCGGTGTTGGCATTTATCGGTCTGGCGTTAATGCCAGTTCCTGTACTCTTCTTCCGATATGGGGAAACAATCCGAAAGAGATGGGAGATCAAGATGTGAGCGGAAGCGGGCTCGGGAAGAGTGTGCTTCTCCTTACCGAGTGCTGATCGTCATGAAAATCCTCGCGATTGGTCTGAGGGACGGAATGAATTTGGGAAGGCATATATCGCCTTGTTATAAATCTCATCTCGTCTTCGTCACCTTGTCCATGCAAGTCCATACTTGCGATTCTGGCACAACCTATTGTTTGACCCTTGTAATAAGAAAATTTCCGCTTCGCCGCTCACCTCTCTGCAACCAGCATATGCATCTCAGGTGACTTTTCCATAAGGCTTCGCATCTCGGTTCCGTGAGACTCCACTGTGGACGGCGCACCATTGTCCGCATATTGCAGGCAACCTTAATAGTCTCTCTATTCACCCTTTCTGATAATATCAAATGTCACTAGTAGTACAATAGGACCTATGGAAAGGATAAATTAATATTGGTAGTAAGCTACACAACCTACTTATGCTAACGATCATCTCGCGTTACGATCGTCAGCGCGCTCAATCACAGTATTATGCGGCATTAATCTGCTAGTACATATTCCGATGCTAGCAAACACCAATTCTATATTACCCTTATCCGCGCCTTGCTCAATCTTACTCGCCCTTTGCATTTTGACGCTTCTCCCACTCGACTATAGCAGGAGAAAAGGGTTTGGAGAAGAGAGACTGGATCAAATATTAGCGACAATAGTTCAATCGAACAGTAAACAAGGGAACTCACCGAGAAATCAGTTCCTACCACACCTTCCTTGCCAGGCAAGTTCTTGAACTTAAACGTCCGCACGAACACCGCAAGGAGCGCCTGAAGTTGCACATAGGCGAATTGCTCGCCAATGCACCGGTGTCGACCCGCCCCGAAAGGCAAATAAGGACTGCTCGTTCCTTTGGAGACAAGACCGTATCCATAATCCACTTTCTCATCATCATCCGTTGCTCCGAGACTCGGATGGTTTGGAGAGCCGTCTTCCCAGCGGTGTGCGTCCCAGACCATAGGATTGGGGAAGTACTCGGGCATCCTCGAAGTCGCACCAGGGGAAGCAAGTAATGTACGGCCGGCCGGGATGGCGTAAGAGGTGCCGGCAACGGGTAGTGGTGAGGTCGCTTTCCGCATGATACTATGGATCGGCGCATGAAGGCGCAAAGTCTCCCGTACAGCAGCAGCGTGGAGTGGCAGTTTCTGCAAGTGCTCATGGGTGATGTCTGGAAGATCTTGGCCAAGAACCTGTTTCTGCTCTTCCAACAGCTCGTCCATGACCTCCGGATTGTCCGCCAAACGGAGGCACATCCATGCAAAGGTGCTGCTACTGCTATGCTGCCCAGCCATGAGCAGCGCGATCATCATGCCGGCAATTTCGTAGTCTGGGATCGCCTTGCCGTCCTTATATTTGCAATCCATCAAATTCCAAATCATGTCTTCTGAATCCTTCGTGACGCCCGGTTGACGCCGGGTCTGAATAATCTCAGAGTAGATCTCGACCATTTTCTGATGGGCAGCATCTCGTTTCCGATTATGCGGCAGAGGTGCCCATGGCAGCACGAAATTGATCGGCGAGAAACCTTTGTCGAGATCGTGGAATAGTTCGGCGAATGAATGGTTGAATCGGGATCGGACCTCTGCACCTTGCAATGTATGAGAGGCAGTAAAGATGGTTAATTGACTGACGGCAGGAGGTATATTAACGGTGCCGCGTTGTCCTTGAAAGGCCTTAGCACTTCCAATGTAGTCGTTGGCTTCCTTGCAAATGATATGCACGTAGGACCGAAGGGCGTCTTGGGTGAGACCGAACTTGATGAACTAATCGACCGTTAGTTGCTAGTCGTAACACGCGTACACGTAACATCTTAATAGTCATACGCGGTAACCATACCTTTTTTTGCTCCATCAACTTGGCGTTCGGGCAATCATAGACCACATCTTTGCCAAAAACCGGTGTGCAAAGAGCGCTGTATACCTCCTCTGCATTGACATCCTTGTGTTTTGCGTTCAGGATGAACTCGTTTCCCTTGGTTCCCAGACAGACGGTTGTCTTCTTCCCCAGTAGAATGAAGGTGAACACATCTCCGTACTGAAGGTACTGCGGTTAGCAACATTCCATGGGGAGGACTGAAAGAGTCGTCTCGAACCTTTTCGCGGCAGCTAAAGAAGAACTTGAAGGGGTCAATTCCATACGGGACCGTATTTCCGATGAAGGGAATCCAGTGGAATACAACAGGAGGCTCTGCCGGATTCCGGAATAGCAATTGGTTCAGGACATTGAGGACGATGGCGAGGACCAAAAACAAGACGGATCCGCCGAGTATGACGACGGAGAGAGATGAATTGGCCAGGAATTGGGCCAATGGCTCGAGAATGGTTGAAAGAGCCCCCATCTTGGACAGTTAAAGACTACAAGAACTGGGGTTTGGTTGTTTCGTGGAGAGGAGGAGAAGTTGAAGGATGGAGGGGAGGGAACAAACTCAAAAATGATAGACTGCCGTTGATCCCTTCGAACGGGAAGATGGCTTTCCGTTGGGATTACGGTGATAGGCTAAAGGAAAGGATCGGAGACTGCGCATCCATTGAGGCTCAGACTCTCTGTTTGACTACACTCTGCAGGTACTTCCCGTTGAATGTACCGGAGATAGAGTTAGTATAGGGGAATCACGCTTGGGTGATTCGATATTCTCCCAGTCGGACGATACAGTTCCGAGAGTCACGTGCTGTCGTGTATCTGCTGATTGAGCCTTATTGCCTGATACATGAGGCTGAGGCATGCGCGAGACATCCTTTCTTCATTCACATCATCACGTGCATGATCAATGACAAAGCAATCAACCTAACCATAGACAAGAGATGCGAACCCGCAAGCGGGTTTCGCTGAAAGAGAGCCTGGAGGAACGAAGCTAGAGTTCGCTGTCTTCAAATCTCCCTAAAAAGAGTGCGTGAATCATATTCACAGAAGCATCATAAAAGGCTTGCTTTTTATCAAAGATCAGAGGTTATCACTTAGTCATTATACAAGATTTCTTTCCTTTTTCTGTACCTTACGTAATCCTGGGTAGTCACGCCACGCGCCCAACATATCCCCCATATA